TTTAGAGATGAGGCCAGAAACTGTTGGACAGATACTGGTTAATTGATTACAAAAAAGTTGGACTTTTTCGGTTGGACCGTTAATCTTAAAGTTTTCGAAATTGTTTAGGCGCTAAAGCTGACAGATCTGACAGTGGTTGTAAATATAAGACGTCTTCGTAATATAAAATAAGAGAATTTGGTGTGAGAGGAGGCTGTGTGTCGAGTCAGTAATGCACTGACTGCATGGTGGTATTTTTAGATGGTGTGTGTGAGCATGCAAATGAGACAGCTGATACGGAGCGCATGAGAGGATTGTGCTTTCGGTTGTGTGTGTTATGAGCTCGATAACTATTGTTTGCAAATGTGGTTAAATGTCTGTGACTAAAATGCTGGCTTAGTACATAACAACACTGTGAATAGAGTTTGAATAATTGTTGTAAATTTATGAGTGGTGACAGGGTTTCTAAGTAGAATATAAGAATAGTTTGTGTTTAGAACTAGCGTTCAAGCCAGAAGATTTAAGGTGGATTTGAAGGTATAAAAATAATAATAATAATAAAAAGGCGTGAGGTTAGTAAAAAGGGTTGCAGCCAGAAAGTGCTGTTAATTTATGAGCTGTCTGGATGCAGAGTAAATGGAGTGGTCATCCTGAGAGGATTGAATGATGCTCTAAGTCTGTGGTCAAGTCAGACGTAGGCTTTAAAGCAACCATGAGCCACTAATAAGCGTGACAGATAAATGAGTATGAGTAAATTGAACTTGTCAAATAGCCTTAATAGAAGTAACTCAATGAGCACGCAATAAAGTGGACTTTTGTAGTTTACCTTACCACCGATGCTATAAAATGAAACTTAATTAGTAGCTATTTTAGAGATAACCTTTGTGAAAAATATAAGGGGGCTTTCCAGATTACAACTTGGCTGAGGAGAAAGCTACCTGTGGGGACTGATCAGGTCGTAAGTCCCTGTCTAAAAAGGATTTTTATGCGAGTCAATCCAGTCCAAAAGCATAAAGAAATATTTTCCTATGGAAAATAAAAAATGACTGAGCTCATTTTGCTGAGGGTGGAGAATCTGATCGTGCGGGAGGCTCCACTATTAGCAAATATATGGTGTGACTGCATGTGAGTGTGTGACTGGATGAAGGTGAGGATGAATAAATGTGGACAAACAATTGGCTTTTACCAGAGAAAATTTCTGTTTTGTTGACTGGGGTTAGATTATGGGATTATAGTATATTGTTGGGAGAATGCCAAATGTTAAAGGGGAAACATTTTTGATGTAACTCAGTTACCATTAATTGAAGAAACACATGACTGATAATTGTTCTGTTTTAAGTTTATTTTTATGACACAGATTGGATCATGAGTGGGGAAACTGAGCATTTTTAGTTTTGTATAGTATTTTGACACATTTCATGTGTCAAAATAAAGGGGGGTTTAGGGTTTAATAATTTAATTGTTTAATAATTTAGGATCATTTTAGGACTTTTGGGTTTTTGATCATTTGGATATGGTAAAACTGAAACTGTTATTTTTATGTTAAGGTTAAAGGATTAAAGTGAACTGAATCCTGTTTAGAAGATACAATGCCAGTGAGTGAGGAGTAGAAAAGGTTTGATTTCTTTTTTGATTTCTAGAAGAAGTGGTTATAATGTAGGCTTACACATACAGATATTACATAGATTTATTTTTAGGATAAAGGGGAGAGCTTATAAGTAGAAGTGATTTTTATACATATTGCATTTTGTGCTTTTAAAGGAGTTGTGGCTCAATTCATCTCTTGAGGGTCACGAGCCTTTGGCTAGCGCTATGATTAGCAATCTACTGTGAGGATGAAATGTGAGTTATTAAAGGATTGCACACGCTTACAGACACAGAGTCCAGAAACACACATGACAGTATTGATTCCAGGGAAAAGGCCTCAAATTGAAGGAGGCCAAAAGGAGCCAAATGAAATAAAAAGGGCTATACCAAAAAACAGGTGGTAACATAGGAAATGTGAGGTTTTAAAATGAAGTTAGTGTTAACACACAGGAGTTGTTTTTAGGCAGCATTTAGCTATGATGAAATGTATACAGGAGTAATTGCTTATATGTTTAAACTTAATTGATTAAAGTGGTTGTTTTTTTTTGGATCTTTTAGTAGAATAGGCGCTTATAATGATTTTCTTGTGAAAGGAGATTCTAGGTCAGAGTGGAGGCCTTGCAGCAGCGAGAGTTCTGTGTACAGGATGTTGATGATTAGATAAGGCAAGCGACAGGAAACGCATGCAGGGACGTAAAAGCAGCGCTTAAAGAGTTAAAGGGATGAGTAACGTTGAAGAATATATAAATACAAGTCAATAAGTTAAAAACATAATTAGGATCAGGCTTTTGATTACAGAGTCCCAAATAGGATAAGTTAGGCAGGTGCAGGAAAAGGTGTTTTGTTTCCTTTGCAGAAAATCTCGGCGGGGAATCCTGGAGGCCCGAGGAACCACCAGAGAGGGACCAAGGAAGCCTAAGCTTACACATGGAGTGTTCTCGAATGGGAGCTGGTGTTTATTACTGGACCAATTAGATGACATGAGGTTGTCTGATTTGCTGAGCCAGAGAGGGTCAGAGCGAGGACACAATGTATTGCGACCTCTGGTGTGCCAGAGGTCGAGAGAGGGAATGTGGAGCAGGGAAATTATTTTACTGCTATTGTTGAATAATTGTCATCATTACCATTGCATTAATAATATAATCTGCAGTATGATCATTGCTTTAACAATGTAACAGATAGCTTTAAGAAGGCCTTAAGATGTTATGCATACAGTTATTATGTTGACTTTGTATTTCAGATGCAGTTATGACTATTTTATACACAATGCAGATCTGTGCTTATTAAAGAGTTGGAGCTCGGTCAATTAATTGGGGGTTGGAAGCTTTGTTCGGCGCGATGTCCGGACAATCTATTGTGCAAGTGACTTGGAGCCATAGAAGGAATTGCAATACATGCTTACAAAACATTTATATCAGGTCATTTTATATTAAGCTTTTAGTAAGAGGTTCTTGATTAAAACATTTATTTTAAGTAGATGATATATCCATAGTTTCAGTTCGATTATTACATATACGAGAGTGGTTTCTGTCTCTCTGTCTGGTT